AGATTTACATGACTTTGGTTTAAGAGGCCGCTTGCCTCAATTTGTATCACAGTTTTTAACTGACAGACAATTTCAAGTTCGTGTTGGATCAACCCTGTCTGATCATTATAATCAGGATCAGGGGGTTCCACAGGGCAGCATTTTGTCTGTCACTTTTTTTAGCATCAAAATAAATAGTTTATCTAAAGTATTAAATGACTCAATAGATGGGTCATTGTTTGTGGATGATTTTAATATTTCATGTCGTGGTCAAAATATGCATACCATTGAAAGACAGTTACAGTTGTGTCTTAATAAAATTAATAAATGGTGTCTTGAGAATGGATTTAAGTTTTCACAGACCAAAACAAATTGTATTCATTTCTGTCGGAAATATAAACTCCATAAAGATCCAGACCTCTCTTTAGATGGCACTCCAATTAAGGTTGTTAAAGAAGCCAAATTTTTGGGATTAATTTTCGACCACCATTTGACGTTTTTGCCACATATCAAATATTTAAAGACTAAATGCCTGAAGGCCCTAGATCTGTTAAAAGTCGTCTCGAATTCTAAGTGGAGAGGGGATCAGACAACCCTCCTTCACCTTTATAGATCATTGATTCGTTCTAAATTAGATTATGGCTCCATTGTATATGCTGGAGCTTGCAAGAGCAATTTAAAAAAGCTAGATTCAATCCACCACCAAGGACTCAGACTGTGTCTTGGTGCTTTTAGAACTTCTCCTGTTGACAGCCTCTATGTCGAGGCTGATGAACTCCCTTTGAAACAACGCCGTGTTAAATTGTCTCTTCAATATATCACTAAATTACACTCTAATCCTTCTAATCCTGCTTATGACTCCGTTTTTCAACCCCTATATGAAGAGCTGTTTCAGAAAAAAACAAAGCTGATTCCACCACTTGGAATTCGGATGAAATCACATATTATTGCTGCAAATATAGATCTTGATATTATCTCACCATATCGTGTCTTGTCTACTCCTCCATGGCAGCTGGTGAGGCCAGAAGTAGATGTTTCTCTAACCCGTTTTATTAAATCTGACACCAATCAACTTATATATCAACAGGAATATGTAGAACTAAGAAATAAATATGACACCCACCGTTCAATCTTTACTGATGGATCCAAGGATGGTGGCAAGGTGGCATGTGCCACTCTCGTTGGATCAAAACATATCTCATCTAGAATACCAGACACTAGCTCTATTTTCACTGCTGAGGCCAATGCTCTTCTTACAGCCTTAAAATACATTCAACGACAGTCTGCATATAAACAATTTATCATCTTTTCTGATTCTTTGTCCTGCCTTCAGGCACTGAAAAAAGTCTCCTCTAATCATCCAATTATTTTAAACATTTTAGAACTTTGTAATGATCTTTCAACTGGCCAATACGACATCGTCTTTTGTTGGTTGCCCAGTCATGTGGGCATAACAGGCAACACAATGGCTGATGCTGCAGCTAAAGCAGCACTCAACAAATCTGTGACACCACTTCTTCTTCCCTACAGTGACTATAAACCTGTTATCCGTTCTTACATCAGAAATCTAATGCAGAAGAAGTGGGACACCCAAGTGGGTATAAATAAATTACATGCAATAAAACCAAATATCGGTTATACCTACTTGGGTTGTCAGTCCAGGTTTGAAGAGGTCATTGTCCGACGATGTCGTATTGGCCATTCAAGATATACACATGAGTATCTATTGAAAGGTGAGGATCCACCGTTTTGCATCCCTTGTGATGGAAGAATCACGGTCAAGCATGTCCTGCTTGACTGTGTTGATTTTGCCATCACAAGGGATAACTATTTCAAATCTTCATCTCTAAAGGATCTTTTTAATAGTATCAGTTGTCATTTAATTGTTGGATTTTTAAAAGAAATAGAACTTATTGATAAATTTTGATTGTGTACATAGTTGATTTTTATAATATTGGTAGTGTTTAATGAGTAACATAGATGGTTAGTGGCTGTATCCTCAAAGGGGGTTGAAGTAGTGTAAAATTATTGTCCCCCAGAGAGGATATGTAAGACCACGTCCTGAAAGTACGTTTATTCATACCACTGTTTTTAAACGTAGTATATTTGTTTTGTTTTAATTATGGCTTAATCGCGTACCATCGCCAGCTGCTGAAGGGATGGTGTAAATCCTGCTGGGGAGCCATGCAGGTAGCAGAAGTATTGTAAGTCCCCACGGGCCCCAGTTAGGTGGCCTAACTTTGGTTGCTGGCGATCTCTAGCCCGTTTTTTATGATGTATTGTTGAATAATAGGTTATTCTTTTAATTGTTCTAAACTAGTTTTACTTCTAAACTGTGATATGCTAGTTGTTCTACTGTCCGTCGATGACAGGTGTTTTATTCTATGTCAGTATCATAAATGTTCTCGTCACGATATGGCTGAAATATTGCCGATGTGACGTAAAGCTTTAACTCACTCACTCACATTGTTTGTTGTTAAACGCCGCACTCAGCAATATTCCAGCTATATGATGGCGGTCTGGACCAGACAATCCAGTGATTGACATCATGAGCATCGATCCGCGCAATCGGGATCGATGACATGCATCAACCAAGTCAGCGAGCCTGACCACCCGATCCCGTTAGTCGCCTTTTACGGCAAGCATGGGTTGCTGAAGACCTATTCTACCCCGGAATCTTCACGGGTCTTTTTTTGATTGCCCAATCAAATTCGAGTATGGTAGAATTGGGATTTAACGTCACACGATGTGTGCTTTATCAAGGTCACCAGATGTTGACAGCATAACTATTGATCCAGTATGCCAGAGTGCTATGTCAGCTCACCAGTGGTTCTTGGTGTAACTAACCATTTCCGAGACCCGTCATGTGTCTGGGATGACTCCCGCTGACACCCCCGTTAATGTCGTACAGCATGATCGTTTTGGGGGTGGGTCCGTAATAATATGTGGTGGTATCACAATAACTGGCGCTCCATATAGTCCATGGCATAGTCTCAGGTCAATACTACCTGGACAACATGATTGCACCATTGGTGCCATTTGAACAACGTGTTGGGCAACGTTTCATCTTTCAAGATGATAATGCACGTGGTCATCGGGCCAAGCTTGGGACCCAAAACATCCATGTCATGCGATGGCCAGAAGTCAGTCCGGACCTTTCCCTCATTGAACACGTCTGAGACGTCATTGGAGAGAGAAACAGAGAGTGAGAGGGTATAGCGTGGGTGCGAAACAGAGACAGAGAGAGGTGAAGTGTAGGCGCGAGAGAAGAACAAATGTAAAATTGGGTGAATGAAGTGTTTGTCCACATGGGAATTATGAACTGACAAGAAAAATAGAATGAAAGAAAGTGAGTGAAGCAGAGCATAAGTGAAAGCGTTATTTGTGAGGAGTGGAAATAACGAGAAGATGGAATAAGAACAAGACAGAACAACCGCTGTTATATGCATCAATGTCTTTGTTCATTTTTTTTTTCATTGTACATATTCATGTATTGGTATATTTGTAACGTGTAACTTCCTTGTCTGTATGGATAGCAATGCATCGATGTAACCACGTATTCATTGTACGTATGTAGTCATATTGTCGTTACTGGAAATATTTCTGTGTGAAATTGTATCCACTTCGACAGCAGTGTTTGTAGATAAAAAACAAATCGTGGTCCACACACAAAATGCTGTACATTACATGAAATTCTCAGTTTAAATTTTGTCCAGTTAAAAAAAGAAAGAAAATTGCTTTATGTACTTTTTGCTTGTTTATACATTTCATATTGTTTTAAATATGTGGTTATATTGATTGATTGTCCACTGTACCTAATTCCCAATTCCTTAGAAGGACGTGGGACACGTCCTTCTTTACAGAAATGGCATATATCATATGTAGTTTGGCAGGGTATATAGGTTTTAACAGGGAGTCTATATGTTTTAACAGGGAGTGTATATACGTCTTATATATTCCCTTAATTAAGTAAGTTGATTATATCTATTTAAATAAACAGAGTGCTGCCAATACAAATTATAACAGCAGCTGGGGTATCATTACCATGGCCAGCAGCACAGAGTCATGTGCGGGTCAGCGGGTTGTAGTTAATGCCAGAGAATGGCCGGTTGGCCACTGGAGCTTAAGCTTAACTTTGTGGATGAGGTGCGGGATACTGCAGGCTGACCATGTATGTAACGTAACACGATACATTGCAGTCTGACAGTGAGGGTTAAAGATAGTACGCTTTCTGTTAGTCGGGACTTGACCCTCGGACAGCGGCTAGGCAGGTTGGCTCTCTTACGCCTCAGAGATCCTGCTTGGCCATACTACTATGTAGTTATATAGACATATTAAGATCACGAATAAACGTTGTGGACCCACAGACGGACTTGTGTGTTGTCATAAGAGAAATATCCGGTAGAGCACCAACGTCTACCTAGGATACTAAGGTACTGTAGGTCCCCATGGTCCCCAGTATGGTGATCTCCTTTCAGTGGCTGACGATTTCTAGCCCCTATTTATGTTGTGGTGTTCATTAATGCTTACTGTTAATATTCACAACTAGTTTTAAATCAAGTCTGTGATATTCTAGTTATTCTACTGTTCATCGTTGACAGCTTTTTATTTAGTCTAAATATATGTATCATAAATGTAACTTCACTTCGATGACAAATATTTATTCCATTCGAACATATGTATTTTATGTCAGTTCTCGTCACGATATGGCTGAAATATTTCCCATGTGACGTTAAATAATAACTCACTCACTCACTCACCCAGCGGATATGATCATGTCATTTCCATTTGCAATACCACATAGATCAGAAGATAATGCCTTGATGATTCCAACTATCCCCTACTTTTATGGCATAGTATATGGGGGAAGCAAGTATCTCCTGGCCATTATCCTAAAAAGGTCATACACGTGAGGTTAAGATATCTGTAAAAACTATGTACATTGTATAAATAGAATAGAAGCATGTGTAAACAAAATCGATTAAAAGCTTGTGTTCAAGACATTTCGATGGAAGAAACTGTTCATTTTGATACTGTTTTATGGCATTCCCAGTTCTTGTACATGATGTCAGTTGCATACATGTCGTCACAATTGTATTAGTAGCAACCCGAATCGTATATGTTGTATCCGCTTTTGTTTTGAGTGTTATGAATACATGTGCATACCATTTTAATGTATGCACATAAAATAAAGGTTTACCTTGGGGGTAGTCAGAGATATATACACATCTATGTAGATCAGTTTTGTCAAACATTGATGTCATGTGTAAAATAAAACAAAAATTAGCAGGGTCGTTTTACGCTCTGGCTGATTTTAAAGTTAAGCACTTATTTCCCGTGAAGGTTGCTTCGGGGTGTGATATCAGTGCGGATGAACTTCGGGATTGTTACTATTTCATCTGGGGGCAGGGGATACGATGACATGCATCCACGCAATTGGGATCGCATGCAAAACCAAGTCAGCGAGCCTGACTAACCGATCCCGTTAGTTGCCTCTTACGACAAGCATAGTCGTCTTTTACGGCAAGCATTGGTTGCTGAAGACGAAATCCACCCCGAATCTTCACGGGCCAGGGATAGTGGTGGATGAGGAAGTGTTGAGTTTGAACAAACAAACAAAATTTTTCAATTGTTGATATCGCTGCTTGATTTTTTCCGCTTCAGTATAATCACCATCATAACTTGACTTGTATTTCTGTATCAGTTGTTGGTATCTTTATTCCGCGTCAATGTAGTCATCATGGCCACACTCACTTGGATTTTGTTTTCTGTCGGTTGTTGCGATCAGTACTTCCATTACTGTCGCTTCAGTAGTATTGGCAGCACAACACTCACTTGGTGTTTGTGTTATTTCAGTCGTTCGTATCGATGCTTCTATTAATGCCGCTTCAGCAGCTTCCTTGTTGGGTATCGTCACGTTTAGATGCAAGTCTCCTGTTTGTGGTAGTGTCCGCTTGCTGAGAGTTGACAGAAATCCGAAGACAGTGGTCGAGAAAAACATTGCACCTGAAACGAAACGTTCCAAAGTCTTTCAACATTTCACTAGTAATATAATATATATTACTGTATATATATATATATATATTCCAGCTATATTAGTTTCACTGATTTCACTGATTATACACTACTTGTATTGATGTGGAAGTATGTATCAATTCGCAACTGCCACTGTGACATACCAGAAAGGAGAAAAACGCTGTAGTACGACCCGCTTGCTTCCAATATGGCTCCTGAAACAGTACAGACATGTGTGCTTAAAGGAGAAGAATATTCGGAAAATGACAACCACATCTACTTCCAATCTTCCTTTATGGTTTTCATTAGCTTTGAAACAGATGGTTCTTAAAAAGTCTTCGATGGACATTTAGAATCCAGAAGAACATGAGTGAGTGAGTGAGTATGGTTTTACGCCGCTTTTAGCAATATTCCAGCAATATCACGGCGGGGGACACCAGAAATGGGCTTCACACATTGTACCCATGTCGGGAATCGAACCTGGGTCTTCGGCGTGACGAGCGAACGCTTTAACCACTAGGCTACCCGACCGCTCCCAGAAGAACATGAAGTATTGAAACGCTTTTGGATGGCGACAGAGTGCGTACTTAAAAGACTACTAAGCCGATGCACAATGGACACCAGGCACGGAGCTCAGCTACAGGTTGCAAGCGTTGTTTACAACATGAACAATGATTTTGTGGACTGGAACTTGTGTTATCAACAACTACCCATTTTATGAACAATATCTATATGAGTTTTACAAGCGTCCACCAACAAACCATTTTCTTTGTGAAGCATGGCAATATCGGTATCCGTGCATGCGGGGTCCGTACGGCGAATGGTTGAATGCAGTTTTCATTTGACCAAGTTTGGAGACTCTATATGTCTGGTGATATGGGGTTAGATTCAGGGCCAACGTCGGCAAGAAATACAGAACAGAGAAAGAAGATCAGGATATCGCCAGTGCCTCATTAAAGGACTCTATTGAAGAACTATGACATTTGACAACAACGTTAACTATGATAACACTGAGTGAAACACTGACACCCCTGAAACTCACAGTTAAGGAAAATAATGCATGTGTGAGCTCACGGCCCGATGATATGCAAAAGATTGTCTCAAACAATCAATTGAGATATTTTGCGGCCTTACAAAGTAAATTAGATAGAAGTGAGAATTACTCCAGGAAACATAATCTACTTTTCTTCGGCACTGAAACTCTCGGGAAGGACGAAATGTATGAGGCCAGGGAAAAACTAAGCAATTTCTTGAAAGAAAAGCTTGAAATAAGTAATTATTACGAGATTCATTTTGATACTGTTCATAGACAGGGTACTAAACGTGAACAAGGATCGAACCCGCCTTAAATAAGTCATGTGTAATGATATAGTACCTGTAAACTTCAAGGCCAAAGGGCAGTTAAAGGGAAATGCCACGTGTCGTGTGTTTGAGGACTTTTCGTTTAAAACCATGGAAAGAAGAAGGAAACTCCCCGTGTACAAGATAATTCCTAGAGAAAAAGGTCAAAGTGCATTTTTGAAGACAGACTATTTATTTATCAATGGTGAAAAGATCTATTTGATGGCCACACAGAAGATCTCAGGAAAGTGACAAAGGACAGAGATTATGGGAAGTGGCTGACAATTGATCTCTCATCTTACACCAGTTATGAAACTTTATAACGAGGAGGAACGACTTCACCAGCTGACATCAGCACGAACTGCTCGTGCATTTCTCCAGCAGGGCAACTCACTACTGTATTATGTTGGCATCGGAATAATTTTCCTCTTAGGTTAACAATAATGACTTCCATGACTTTCTGTGTAAGCGGAATAATATCTGTTTAACTGAAACGTGGGCAAAATCACTAAACAACTTTAAGTTTGTTTTTCCTGATTACGTTTCATTTCAATCAGTTCGACCCAAAGACGCCGCGATATAACATGAATACTGTTAAAAGCGGCGTGAAACCCAACTCACTCGCTCACTCGACCCAAAGAGAAGAAAGCAGATGCTACAGTGGAGGTGTCGCGGTATATCTTAGTGATAAACCTGCATTGTATTTTTCAAAGATACATGAGTGAGTGAGTGAGTTAAAGCTTTATGTCACATCGGCAATATTTCAGCCATATCGTGACGCAAATATACATGACGAATAGTTTGCCTGGGTTTTAACTGTTTCAAATGATGTACTCATTATTGGTAGAGGGCTAATATTCGGATATGTATACTTGAAAAATGAAACATTAGGCTATAATGAGGGTATTTAAGCTTTAGAATTTGTTCTTGCAGTGCTCATGGACGAGTTCCAGGTCAGTGACTACATCTTGTGTGGAGACTTCAACAGTAGAACTGGCTAGTAGTTGGATGTGTATACTTAAAACCTGAAACATTGGGCTATAGTGAGGGTGTTGAAGTTTTGGATTTATTTCTTGCAGTGCTCATGGACAAATTCCCGGTGAGTGACCACGTCTTCGTGTTGAGACTTCAATAGCATAACTAGAACCGAATTATGTTATATTGGTTTTGATGCAGTTGATCATCTACCAATGGATGATATTGTGTATGATCAGTATGACAGCCCTGCAGAACGAAAGAACAAGGACCAAGTTGTTACCAATTATGGGAACGATTTCTTAGAAGATCGTAAAACGTTTGGTTTATATTTACTAAATGGCAGGTTTTCTTACTACATTTGTGTGTCAGCATATCTATACAAGTATGTAAAGGACTTTAAACTTATAAGTCAGACCATCTTCCCCTATTTGCTTCTTTCTCATCATTGTTTAATGTAGAAGACACTCTAGAACAGGATGTTAATAAATATCGAACAGGGATACGTGTGAAGACTATATGAATCATGTTGAAAGTGCATTAATACAAGAAACGTTTACAGAATTCATTATCTGTGTAGAAAATGATATGATAAAGCGACAGGGATGGTACAGCGTATAAGACAATACTGTGGAAGGAATATGAAAGTAAAGAGGTCCAAATATAGGCTTTAAGAAACAAGTAGAATGGTTGATGTCAACATTTGAAGAGAGAAAAATATAAACTCATGAATATATTCAGAAATGTGTCTTCTCCGGAAAACTATAACTTATACTAGAACATTAGAGACAAATTTCAACCTTTATGTTAACAATAACAGACTTATTTTAAGCAGAACATTACAAACGCATTAGTTAAAATGCTTTGAATAGTAATGCCACTGTGGAAAAGGTAGTAAAAGTGAACTTAATAACTTTCGTGGTATATCACGTCTAAATACAATCGGTAAAATGCTTTGAATTTAAGACCAGAATGTTTCTTAGACTACCAAGGCATAATTGGTGAATATCAAGGGTGGGGGGGGGGGGGGGGGGGGGGGGGTTGGTTAAGAGAGATCATTTCACTATTGATAACTTTTTGATTTGTGGAAAAAATGGTCTTTTTAATGGTGAGCGTATGAAAACTGTTAATGCCTATATATATTTGTGACTTTTTTCACTCCCAAATTAATTTGGACTAATTATATAAAGCCTGTAAAACTGTGAGCAGTTAAATCGTCAATAAGACGTTATTGCGGTTAAGGAAGCATTTTCTGTAATACTTGATAAGAAAATTGTTCTGATATTAATGTATGGTGCTGAGATTTGGAGACACCAAGAGGTATGGCAATTTGTCTGTTAGTTTAATGTATATGTACATACCCGCAATTGGGGGACCTGTAAGATAGCCGACTCCACAAGAAAATAAAGTTGCACCAACACCTGTGGCGAAGTCTTGAAGTCCAAGAATTTCAAGTGTCAGGGTCTGAAGGAATACCCACGTGCCTCCACTATACAGTCCAAGAATGAAGCCATAAACTATTCTCAGAACAGAGAATGTGTTGAACAGTAGCAATAAAAACGTGCAAATTGCTACTATGCCATTCACAGAGGAATACACAGTGGCACTGTCAATCTTCTCATCACTCAGAGCAAATCCTATGAGAATACGTGAGACGATACTTCCTATGCCTGAAGCTGATATAACAAAGGCTCCTTCCTGGAATGTAGATCCCTGTTTTATAAAGAAATCCGGCAGAAAGAGATATTCTGTTGACATAGCAATTGAAAAGCACAGTACACTGCATAAAAAGAATATAAATGAAACATTGCTCACAACATGACGGAACCTCGTTAGATCCCTACATATTGACGTAATCTTTCTCTGAGAGGGTTGACCCTTCCAAGCTTGTTGTGTTCTCTTGCGCTCAAATTCAGGGGGTCGCATAAGCATTCCAGCAGCACATGCATTAAGTGTCATTCCTCCAATGATAAGAAAGGCGCCGTGGACTCCATATGTTTCCATCAAATACTGAAAAAGTGGGGGGTGTATGAATATACCAAGTCCAACTCCTGAGATAGATATTCCTGTAACCAGTCCTGGTTTGTCAGGGAAGTAGTATCCAATAATGACAACACTTCCGGCTTGTGCCAAACCTGTGCCAAGACCTGAAGTATGAATGGCAACATATCACAATCGTTTCTTTTTTTATCATTTTATATTTATTTTATCAAGTGCTGTATACAGAGGACATTAAACACAATAAGGAGACCCAACACTCACTGGCATAATATCAGTTTATCTATCCTCCCATCCGACAACCTTTCACTTGACTAATGAAACTAAAACATTGCAATAATGTCTCAAGTTTCCACAAAATGAAATGAGATGAAATGGGGTTTAACGTTGCGCTCAAGATTATTGCACTTATATAGCCACGTGCATGAGTGCATGAGTGCATGCGTGCGTGCGTGCGTGCGTGCGTGTGTGGCTGCCTGTACTAGTCCGCACTAATGCCGACTTTATGGCGTTTGTCCACTGATATACAATGCCGCAGTTTAACATGAAAAACGAGCCGATCAGTCCTTGTTTTGGCCTATTCATTCCGAGCGCCAAGCAGGGTAACAATCCTTATCCTATTTCAACGTCTGTTGGTATGACGCGGCCGGAGATCCAACCCTGGACCTTCTGCTCACCGGGCGGACGCTCTACCACTAGACAACAGAGGCGATCCTTCCACAAAGCACTCTTATTAAATTGCCAATGACTGCTTTCTGAATAGTTTCTATAAAACAGCACAAACAAACGTAAAATGATAACCCCCAATTCCCTGGAGCAGCACATCGATGTATAATCATTAAACAGTCAGGGATATGGATATAAATTGTTCAGGTGAACATTTGACATGTCTTTGTATGTGTTTGTTATGGGTGTCACTAGTGAGGAGGGATATGCTTATCTATTCGTTAACACCTGGTATTATCACTATTTGTTAGTGATTCATAAACACTTCATATTGTTTAGCTATTTTGGGTTATTGGTTTGGTTTGGTTTGGTTTGTTGTTTAACGCCGCACTCAAAAATATTCCAGCTATATGACGGCGGTCTGTAAATAATCGAATCTGGACCAGATAATACAGTGATTTATATCATGAGCATCGATCCGCGCAATTGGGATCGATGACATGCTTCAACCAAGTCAGCGAGCCTGACCACCCGATCCCGTTAGTCGCCTTTAACGACAAGCATAGTCACCTTTTACGGCAAGCATGGGTTGCTGAAGACCTTTTCTACCCCGGAATCTTCACGGGTCATTTTGGGTTATTGTGTCCCTCAGGCTACAAACAATAACAATAAGCAGTTGTAAATTTCATTTAGATTGATAATACCCTTTTTTATGTCTGAATACCTTCATTTTATGTGAGCCTTTCAGTTACCGTAAATTTACTATATATAACATTGCCATTACCATCTGAATCGTGCAGTAAGATACAAATAAGACAACTTTAAGTTTCGAATGTTTTGCTTAAGGAAACACATCTAAGTAGCACACGTCAACAGCTTTTGGCATGAACTTCAATATTTCTCATTTTCATATCCGCTAACTTTACGGTCAACAAGAAATTAAAAAGAAAAACATCACCTTGGCTGACACAAACAGTTAAGGGTTAAGAAATCGCTAAATAGCAGTGCGACCATTTCAGCCGTACATACCTGCAATTAAGGAATATGTTAAGAACAATATCCTTATTTCGGTCACCAGATAGCTGGTCGCAAACCCAGTCATCATCAAGACTCCAGACATCACCACACACGTTCTACAGTCAAACACGTTGATAACCAAGCTGGCAATTGGACCTGAAGAGGATGACAACATGTGTGAAACATGTTCGAACATTTCTTTTTGTTATGCTGTCGATATATATTTCAATGTCAAGATCCTAGCAGAATCCCTTTATCGAACTACATATAACTCGAGCTATTTTCGATCGAAAACTCGACACATTGTATTTCCCTCCAAACAAATCCCAATGTAATCTCGCCGACACAGTTTCGAACTCTGAAGAGCACAGCAGCCAAAGAAGGATTTTTGGTTGTTTGCTTATTACATAACAATAGCAATATTTTCGCTGCACGTATATGACGGTGAAGTATATGTGATATACCACTGTGTGCTCTAAGAAAGTGAGCGGAAATATTTAATTCTCAAAACTATAAATGATATATATTATTATTTACAAAGAATATGTCAAACAATGTCTACAAATGCTAAATGTCATGTTAAACTTTGCCAGATTCCTGTTGTATGGGGGTTTTTTTTACAGAAAGATAAATTACTTGTTTTATCTTCCCTTAAGAGATAATTCTCTCTCAAATCGTAATTTGCACTGTGGGTCTGATGGCCTTCGTGCAGATAAATAAGTTAACTGTCAATTCGACCTAAAGTGGATAGGAAATATGTACAAAAAAAGTGTCAAAGTAAACCATGAGCAGTGGTTAAGGAACGTAACATAAATACCTCAGTGATCACTTTTTTATTTCATGATCAATGTAGTCAGTTCCTTACCTGTCAGAGCAAACATGCAGGAAAAGAGAGATCCCATCCATGCTGTCATCGTCACATCCTCCTGGAACTCTTTGAGCAAAGCTACGTGGATTACTCCGCTTGCATAGGGAAGGGATGGGCCAAGGAGCATCGTCGTAAAGGAGGCAACAAGAACAACTGCTGGATACATGCTCTGCCTCTCCATTTCTCTAGTTAAGGGTTTGCGTTCTGAAAATATTCACAATTTAGAGAATGGCGGACAGGCTCGGGGGAATTACAAATTATCTAGCCAGGGTGGAGTTTGGGCGGGGGGTGGTAGTGGTGCACGGGTGGCCCAGTTGCGTCCCTCGGGCCAGAAACCTATGATCTTCGGTTGGAATCCCGGGTTCACATCTTAGACCTGCAACGCTTCCGTCTTAACTCCCACATCACGCTGATACGCTGTGTTATAAATGGAATACTGCTAAAAACGCTGTGTTATAAATGGAATACTGCTCAAAATGACTTTAACTCCACTCATGCCATAATTCGCGTGGCATAATGTAATCAATATTTGAATGTGAACCATAGCAAACGTTATAGCGCATTGTTCTCAACAATGAAGCAGGGTGGCATAATATCGCTTCATTTGATCAATCAGCATTGACACGTGCCTGTCTGTGATGTCTGGTCATTGGGATGCGAATGTTTGCCCTTTGTGAAGGGAAACCAGCCTCACAGAGACGATTACGCACTGAATAGAAATGTTAACGCCCCTGGCATTCCGCTGGTCATTTCTGAGTGTGGTGGCAGTCACGAAGTGATGACCTCCGGCTGCAATCAGGAGAAACCTGTTTGTGGCGGAATGCTGTCGACCACCTGCATGTTGCTGTGAAGCTGTTCAAAGGTCTGGTATCGATTCCATGCCCTGCTGATCTCACTTTTGCTGATACCAAAGACGTTTACAACGTTCATAGTGTGGTGACCCAGTTTCAAGCATGCCTATGCATCTGCCTATTTATTCAGTCGTTTAACGACGTCTTTGACGCTGAGGCACTCGTGAAGAGCAACCTCCTCGTGGTGAGTGCTGGGTAACGCTAATAGCTCTTCCCCCGTGTGGAACCGGGGCAGAATATTTCCACAGCCTCCCATTGCTGGTCGTATGAGGCGACTAAAATGGGCAACCTGTTTGCCGTTGGTTGCGTCCCTGTGTCGGCGGAGGACGGGAGTCTGGTAGTTGAGGGCACTGGTTCCTGGAACTGTGTTCCTTTGCCCAACACACTACTTCGACCCTTACTTCGCCTAGACGGGTGGTAAGATGGGCCCGGTCTTATTAATCGGCTGGTCATGCCAGGCCCCTGTGCGTAATATTGTATATGCACTCCTGTGTTGTATTATAATGTATATTTTGGTCTTGGCCATGCATACTTTGTATGAATTATCAATTTTTGATGGAATAAATTGCCTAGAGTCTTACGCCAGAAGGCGGTGGCTCATGGGCCAATCTGGTGATGTTGACCTTTGTATTCTGTATATCTCCAGTTTCTTGTCATGGACTGAACCTGCCTGGCACTACATCTGGTAGATAAATATAGCTATTCAAGTCATATTTGCTGGAGTATAACACCCCTGTAGCCCTGGTGTTTTGCATTTTGGATATCCAATGCAATGAAACACTGTGGTGACACTCGATGGTGACACTCGATGGTGGGTGGGGAGCAGAGGTGCAGAACCACTTCCTTTCATTATGTCGACACAACACTCTGGTTCGAAAAGAAAACACCTAGATGCTAGCTCCTCTGATGACGAAACTGATCTCAAATTAGATTCCTGGGCTCGATTCATAGTAATTGAGGCTTCTGATCATCAACCTTTGAAATTGATCCCGTTCACTATTTCTAAGGCCATCCATGGTTGTTGTGGTACAGTTAACAATGTTACCCGCCTCCGTAATGGCTCCATACTAGTGGAATGTGCCAGGAAACAGCAATCTCTTAATCTGTTATCAATCAGCCAATTTGCAAATGTAGAGGTTGCTGTCTCGGCACATAGGACTTTGAACTCGTGTCGAGGCATTGTGAGAGACAGAGCCCGATGATTAGCTGACATGAGTGAAGATGAGATTGTGACCGAACTAACAAATGAAGGTGTTACAGCTGTCAAGCGTTTCACCAGAAAACAGGATAATAATATCATCAAAACCAACACCTATCTCTTTACTTTTTCCCTTTCCAAAATTCCTAAATCTATAAAAGCTGGGTACTTTAATATCAGAGTGGAAGTTTATGTACCAAACCCACTCCGATGTTACAAATGTCAACATTTTGGACACGGTGCCAAGACCTGCACTCTCAGCGTAGTTTGTGTGCGCTGCAGTGGTTCTCATGAGAGCACTGAGTGCACTGATGCCACAAAGTGTGCAAATTGCGATGGAGACCACTTAGCCTCATCCAAACTTTGTCCACACTTTATCCGTCAATCTCAAATATTAAAAATTAAACACACTAACAATATCTCTTTTCATGATGCTAAGAAGCTAGTTCAGTCACAATCTCCAAATAACTCAACAATATCTTACTCAGCAGCAGTAACTGTCACTCCTGTTGTCAAGGCCGCCACAGTATCTGTAGGATGCCAAACAACCATCTCTTGGGTTGGTAATCAGCAGATGCTAGAAGACAAGTCAGCCCAATCATCTCACGGTGTCACAACAAGAGTAACATCAGCTTCACAGACGGAGCTAGTGAAATCAACAAACATAGTAGAACCAGAATCATCTCCAATTCATGGAGACCTCCATTTAACAAAAACGGAAAAAAAGAAACGGAAAAAAACGGCTAGGGCCCTCCAACACTTGGAGGTGCCTTCTTCTCAGCCTACACCTGTTAAGGTTCAAAATCAATTTGAACCTTTGGCGAGGGAGATCACTCCATCTCCAACAGACCATGGGAGTGGACCTCCCTCTCGGTCCAGATCCCCAGTAGAACCACCATGACCTGTTCTAACCCGATAATACAATGGAATTGCAGAGGACTAAAAAACAATTTTAATGATTTACAGCTATTAACACAAGATTTCAAGCCAACAGCCTTTTGTCTACAGGAAACATATTTTAAAAATACAGATCAACTCAACATCAGACAATATGATTCTTATCATTTCTTTTCACCTCCAGGAGCTAAAGCAACTCGAGGATCTTCAATCCTGGTGAGGCAAGGTATTATTCATAGCCCTGTTCCTCTGAATACACCTCTACAAGCTATCGCAGTTCGTATCACTATGCACATTGTTTTTACTCTGTGCTCTCTTTACATTCCTCCATCTGCATCTCTTCAGCAATCCGATCTTCAAGCTCTCTATGACCAGCTTCCCAAGCCCTGTATTATAATGGGCGATATGAACGGACACAATCCACTTTGGGGTAGTGATCATACCAACGGTAAAGGCAAGCTCTAAGAAGATTTTATTTCGAACAAAACTCTGTGCCTTTTTAATGATAATTCAAACACATATTTACATCCTGGTACAGGCACATACTCTTCTCTGGATTTGTCTGTTACAGATTCCAACCTGCTAAATGAATTTGAGTGGTCAGTCCACGATGACCTCTGTGGAAGTGACCACTTTCCAACCATTCTACACCCTATTGCCCCATCTGATGTTCCTCCGTCCTCTAGATGGAACTTTACCAAAGCTAACTGGCCTCTGTATGACCTTCTATGTACAGCAAAGTTAACACCTGATCACTTTACTGACATTCCTGACCCGATAACATGCTTTTCTGATGGACTCATCAAAATAGCTGAAGAATGTGTTCCCAAGTCCTCTGGAATTCCACACATACGTAAACCATGGTTTACTGATGACTGCAAGCGAGCTAGGAAGGCGAGGAAAAAGGCGGAGCATTATTTCCGCCGCCATCCTATGGTTCATAACTTAAATAAATTTAAAATCTTAAACGCAAAAGCACGGCATACATTTAAAGAAAGTAAACGCCAATCTTGGCGAAATTATGTGTCAAAAATAAACTCAAGGACGCCCATGTCCAAGGTATGGAACATGGTCCAAAAAATCAAAGGTAAGGGCACTAAATCTAGTATTCCCCATCTTAAACATTGGGACCAACTACTAACTCATAAATCAGATATTGCTAATAAACTTGGCGAAACTTTGTCTAAACACTCTTCCTCATCTATCTATGTACCTCAATTCCAAAAGTATCAAAAACAGCAGGAAAAGAAACCTATAAATTTTAATTCAGATAATGGGGAAGATTATAATGAACTATTCTCTATTCATGAACTCCACACTGCCCTTGGACAAGCTCACGATACTGCTACAGGAGCTGATAACATACATTATCAACTCCTGAAGCACTTACCAGAATCATCCTTAGAAACACTTTTGAATATTTTTGATGTCATTTGGACCTCAGGGAAGTTCCTTCCTTCGTGGCGTGATGCCATAGTTGTCCCGCTACCCAAACCCGGTCGAGATCATACTGACCCATCAAATTACCGACCAATATCATTGACAAGCTGCGTTTGCAAAACCATGGAACGCATGCTAAACAATCGTCTCGTTTGGTACCTGGAATCCAATAATCTTATTACTAATATACAATGTGGTTTCCGGAAAAACAGGAGTACCATCGACCATTTGGTTCGCTTGGAATCATTTGTTAAAAATGCCATAATAAATAAACAACATGCAGTGTCTATCTTTTTCGATCTAGAAAAAGCATATGACACTACATGGAAACATGGTATTTTAAAAGATTTACATGGTTTTGGATTACGAGGCCGTTTGCCTCAATTTATATCCGCATTTTTAACTGACAGGCAATTTCAGGTCCGCGTGGGTTCTACCCTGTCTGATCATTATAATCAGGATCAGGGTGTCCAACAAGGAAGCATCTTGTCTGTCACATTGTTTAGTATTAAGATAAATAGTTTGTCTAAAGTTTAAAATGATTCGATTGATGGATCGCTCTTCGTGGATGATTTTAATATTTCTTGTCGTGGCAAAAACATGCATACTATTGAAAGGCAACTACAGCTCTGTTTAATTAAAATCCAGAAATGGTGTCTCGTAAATGGTTTTAATTTTTTTAAAATCTAAAACCAACTGTATACATTTTTGTAGAAAATATAAACCCCATAATCATTAATTTTAGATAACACTCCCATTAAAGTTGTAAAGGAAGCCAAGTTCTTAGGTCTAATTTTCTATCATCATATGACATTTCT